CAGCCTTCGCCCAGGGGGGCCCGAAGGCCCGCCGCGCCCATGGGTGCGGATGTACCATCGAAGGCCCATCGCCGGTTTGTCGGCGGTGCATCGCCGAATCCAGGGAAGCGTTTCCCCCCCCCATCCTGCCCCTGAGCCGGTCCCCCCCCTTTCCTTCTCCGTTCCCCCTCGTCGTCGTCGCCGTCGCCGTCGTCGCCGTCTCGGATTGGTCTGGGTCAGATTCTGGGCGCTTCTGGGCTCTCTCGTGGCCTAGGCTGGGCCCAGCTCGAGAGGCCAATCAGAGTGCTGTTCTGGAGGGGTCCTGGGGCAGACTTTGACGGAAGACCGTCGAGGTCGTTGTCGTTTTCGTCGTCGTCGTCGTCGTCGGTGGCGACGTCGTCGGATGGCGGGGACGACGACACAGTCGACGACGAGGGTGGAAACACCGATTTTGGTGACGACATCGACGATGACAATGGTAACGACAATGCTGGACATGGCGGCGTTGGTGACGAAGACGTGGACGTCGACGACGATGTTGGATACATCGAGGTTGGTGACGACGACGTCGACATCGACGACACTGGAGACGTCAGTGTCAGTGACGACGAAGTCGAGGATGACATCGATTGTCTTCGTCATTGGTGACGATGCCTGCGACGACACGAAGGACGCCGAGGACGACGACGCCGTCACCCCCGAACCTTTTCCCCTCGTGATGTTGGAAATCGAGGTTTTGGTGCTCCTATGCTGGCGTTTCGCGCTCAGGTGTTCTTCCGTTTGTTCGTTGCCACTCTTTTTGGACGCATGCTCTCAGGGCAAGGGTGCGTTGGTCCCCACAGGTGGGCGCGACAGAGAGAGAGAGAGAGATAGAGAAAGAGAGAGAGAGAGAGAGCCGTGCAGGTCGGAGGTGCATTTGCAAGAGGTGCAACAAGCCCTCTATAGTTCGAAGAGGAAACAGCAGCATACACAAAACTTTCGACGGTCCTGGTGGATTTCTTGGATTGGCGCTGGGTCCTCCTGGCGGCGCCCCCGGCGCCGCCCCTGGCGAGCTTCCCGCGCCAGTGAGGGGGGTCCAGCGCAGATCCAAGACATCCACGCGGATCTCTGCTTTTTTTGCTTATCTGTTGTTTGTTCTTCTAGTGCACACTTCCAGTGACTCTGCTGTGCAGCAAGGTGAAGCTACGGAAACGAGCACCCTTATTCAAGTGATTCGGGGCCGTCTGGGGGGCTTTTCGATGCTTCTCGAGGGGCCCCTTGGGGGCTTCTTGGGAGCCTCGTGGAGGCCTCTTGAGGCGTCTTGGGGGCGCCTCGGCGGCTTCTGGGGGTCTCTTGGAGCCACCTTGGGGAGATCGGCTCGAAATATCAATTTGTTTTCCCACTACTGTAGTTTCGTGTCGTGCCGACGCGGCAGCGACACCGCCGCGGGCGTTCAAGGTTGAACGCCGCCAGGGGCCCAAGCCGCCGATCGTTCAAGGTTGAACGAACCACGCGGTGTCAGAAACCAACGCCCAGGCCGGCACGACATGCACCTGCCGTGCAGTTCCAGCGCCTTTGCTGAGGAGCAAGGGTGAAAACTACGGCAACGATCGCCGAGCGCGTTACACTACTCGCAAAGTGCCTACTCGCAAACGTCCGAAAACACATGTCCGCTTTGATGCAATTTATCGTAGACCCTCCGCGGAGGGAGGATCCAGGCCACTTGCGAGTAGTGGAACGCACTCGTCTAAACGAGCGCTCCTACTTCAGACTTCAGGGTCTCGTTGCGCGGTGCGAGGAACTCGTCGCGACCACTTCCACCGCCCGCAGGGGGAAGGAGGCTGGCGGGCTCGCGCCTTGCCGTCGTCGCCCCAATCCTCATCCTCCTCCTGTCCTCCCGTCATCTTTCCCCCTGTTCCCCTTCCCTCTTCCACTTCCTCCCCACCTCCGAACAAAAAGCCGCCCCTCCGATGCAGGAAGCACCGTCAAGGCGGCTCTGCTTGTTGGGCTGTTCCCCAGACCTGGGCCGAGGAGCCTGCTTGTGGCCGAGGCACGCCGTCGCGGGGGATGCGCGTTCGTCCCTTCTTCAGTGTCCTTTGATGGTAGCACGGTGACCGTATACTGAGGAAGTGGGTGGCCTGTAGCTCAGGCGATCGCAAACATGGATGAAGGGGGCGTGGACTAGCGACGGGTCCCGTGTCCATGGCTAATCGCGGATTCCGCCGCCGAGCGAGGCGGCACCGGCCGCATTTTGGGGAGGGCACCTCCCCCGATCCATGGACTTGGCGACCGCGCGCCAAATCCATGGATCGCTAATTCATGTTTGCGCGGAGTAGCGGAGGAAATCGCTTCCAGACTCCAACGGTATGGGAGATGATGCGAGGATGAGGACGAGGAGGGCTTGCATGGGGCGCGTGCGAGGCGCGAGGACTTGTAGACTCCTAGAAGTCGAGGCACAGAACAGGGAGGAGGCACACATGATGATGATGCTGCTGATTCTGCTGATGATGGTGGTGGTGATGATGATGATGATGATGATGATGATGATGAGCACGTTCATGATGATGATGATGATGATGAGGAGGGTCATTGATGTGATGATGATGATGATGATGACGATGCTACTGCTGCGCTGCTGCTGCTGATGATGCCGATGTTGATGATGCTGATGATGGTAATGAAGGTAATGATGCTGATGATGATGATGACGACGAAGATGAAGATGATGATTGTCATGATGAGGATGCTGATGATGGTGGTGGTGGTGATGGTGATGGCAATCGTAGAGGAGGGGAGGGAGCAGGAGAAGAAGGAGGAGCAGTCGGATGAGGCGGGGGATAAAGGCGGATGAGGCGGATTACGGGAGGAGGAGGAGTAGGAGGAGGAGGAGGAGAAGTGGTAGGCGGAAGATGGGAGGACGAGGGGGAGGAGGAGGAGGAGGAGGAGGAGGAGGAGGTTGACAGTGTTGATGATGATGATAACGATGCTGATGCTGCTGCTGATGATGACGATGATGATGATGATGATGATGAGGATGATGATGCTGACGATGCTGATGACCATGCTGATGCTGCTGATGATGCTGACGTTGATGATGATGGTGATGATGATGATGATGATGTTGATGACGATGCCGATGATGCGGATGATGACGATGTTGTTGATGGTAGTCTTGGTGGTGCTGGTGATGATGGTTACGTGGAGATTGCCAAGGATGAGGAGGAGAATGCGGTTGATGATGACCATGATGATGGTGATGATGATGATGCTGATGTTGATGCTGCTGATGATCATGCTGATGCCGATGCTGATTAGGATGGCCACGACGATGGCGATGATGATGGTGATGATGATGATTATGATGATGATGGCGATGGAATGATGATTGTCATGATGATGATGGTGATGCTGATGGTGATGCTGCTAATGATGCTGATGATGATGGTGGTGGTGGTGATGTTGATGGTGATGATGCTGCTGATGATGATGTTGATGATGCTGATGATGATGATGATGGTGATGAAACAGCAGCGCTGCTGCTGGTGCTGATGATTACGATGCTGATGCTGTCGATGATCATATTGATACAAGGATGGTGCTGATGATGATGATAATGCTGAGGCTACTGATGATGACGATGATGAAGATGATGATGACGATGATGATGACGACGATGACGATGATGATGATGACGAAGATGCTGATGCTGATGACGTTTGGTAAGGGTGTTGACGACGACAATGATGATTATGATGATGACGATGCTGATGATGATGATGATGATGATGACGATGACGATGCTGATGATCATGATCATGATGATGCTGATGCTGATGCTGCTGCTGCTGCTGATGATGATGATCATGATGATGCTGACGATGCTGATGACCATGCTGATGCTGATGATGCTGACGTTGATGATGATGATGATGATGATGATGGTGGTGGTGGTGGTGGTGGTGATGATGATGATGATGCTGATGGTGATGCTGATGCTGATGCTGCTGCTGCTGCTGATGATGATGATGATGATGATGATGATGACGATGATGGTGATTACGATGATGATGCTGATTCTGATGATGCTGATGCTGATGCTGATGCTGATGCTGATGCTCATGCTGCTGCTGCTGATGATGAGGAGGAGGAGGAGGAGGAGGACGAAGAGGAGGAGAACGCTGTAGCCACTTAGCTAACATCTGACCAAAGAGGAGGAGGAGGAGGAAAGGGAGGAGGAGGAGGAAGATGAGGGGAAGGGGAGGAGGAGGAGGAGGAGAAATACGACGACGACGATGGCGAGAGCTAGGGTGTGGCCGAAGGCGAGCAGGAGTAGGACGGGCCAGAGGACGACGGCGACGGCTTCGCCGGACAGACGGGCGCAGGTCCAGGCCATCGCGTGCGGGTTCCGCAACAGTTGCGTGGTCTGCGAGCTCCCCGCAGGCGCGCGCGTGCACGCGCGCGCGGACGGGCGTGAGCGGCGTCAGCAGCGGCGAGAGCATGGCCAGGTGTGGGGGGGGGGGGCGGGGGCCAATCGGGCTGGGCCGTGAAGGGCCAGGGAGGCCTCGGAGGAGGAAGGGGGTGTGGGGATGGCGGGGGGATGGGGGGAGGTAGGTAGAGCGGGAGGAGGAGGAGGAGGAGGCGAAGTTGGAGGGATGGGGCTTGAGATCGGTGTCGGCTTCGAAGTGCGAATCTGCTTCCAATTGGTTCGCTTTAGGCGTAAGATTGCCGCCCCTGTTCGTCCTCGCGCTCCTCCCGCCGCGCGTTTTGAAATACGTCCGCCGGAGCACGTCCCCCACCCCCCTCGCCATTCCCCCTCCTCACCCTCATCCTCCTCTCTTCTCCCTCCAGCTCCCTCCTCTCTCCTCTCCTCTCCCTCCAGCTCCCTCCTCCCACCCTCCTGGCCTTCCTACCTCTCGTCCTGCTGTTCGCCATCCTTCTCATTTGTTTGGCAGTTGCCGAGGGAACAGGGCATAGCCGAGGGGGGCGTGAGAAAGGACTCAAGCTGGGATCTATAGATGTCAAGCGGGTGTCCGTTTTACGCCAACGCTGCCAGCCAGGGGGAACATCTGGATCATATTACCCGAAGACGATTGGGAACCGGGCATGTGTGGAAGACTATTACAGTCAAGGCGCGGCACTCGATACGCCGCCAGCAACTAGGACAATTGTTATGCGGAGTTTGCATGTGACATTGTTTTTACACCGGAGAAGCATCACCGTGCTTTTCTTCAGTGCACAATGTTGGAAACAAAACATGACGTTGCGAATTTGGCTAACAGTTCACGGCTACGGTTTTACTTGACCAGGTAGTGATAGTGATCTTTGAATGTGCCGAAGGAGAAATCATTTTCAAATTCGAAATTGCAATGTTGGGCAGACCCGGACTAGGACCAGCATATTTGAAGTCAATTCGGATTCTTAGCCGAATTGTGGAATGGATCCGGGATGGGTTATGGTATGAGGTGGATCAACGGCACGATGTGACAGTTGTTCAAGAGTTAGGGCTGGACCAGTGCAGAGTGAGATGCGGGATGCCAGGAGAAAAGCAGCTTTGCGCAGAAGAAGAAACGAGGAGCCCCTTCCGAACCATGAAGGTAAGAACTATCAAGCTTTGGTGGCCAGGGTAAACTAATCTAGCAAAAGGCCATTCGGATATGCAGTTCTCAAGTGAGGGGCTCGCGCTCTCATAGTCAGCCCGAACCAGGGGGCATGGACATGCCCTGCGAAACTGGGCAAGGACCTCGCGACGTGCGTGGGTATCAGCATTTGTAGCAAGAATGTCCTAAGGAGCTAACCATACAGTCTGACGCCGACCATGCCAGTTGCAAGACATTCTGGAAGTCAGTAACCGAAGGAACAGTAATGGGGGGGACTGCCTTTGGTAATTTGAGAAGCAGAGTATTCGTCCGTAGCGTTAGGGTTGCATTCAGTTTTCAAAGACTTCGATGTTGATTGTGGCATCTAGTCTAAGAGCGATGCCAGCGCAGCCATTGCCACTGATCTTAGGCGAAGACTCGGCAAAGTCAGGCGCATCGCGGTTTGTCGGCTTCGGTGTCAGGGGAAAATGCGACGAGGAAACATTACAGTGATCAGTGTACGAACTCATGAGGGCCTGGCATACAGTTTGACTGAACGTGTGCGCGGCGACAGCATGTCCATGCATATGCGAGGTACAAATCAACATATGGTTAAATGTATGCACGAGCTGGCACCCGCTACGTATTGCCAGCTTTTATTTCGTATCCAGGCTATCACCTTGTGCCACTTTGCCGGTGATTTGAGCTCCGGATCAGTTGAGGTCCAGGTGCTCGTCCACGCGATGCAGGCCCAGACTACGTACTGAAGATAGAAATTGTCTTGCATGGCTTGGCGCATTGCGACAGTCAGAAATCGTGTGTCGCGTGTTAGGAGCCCCCTCTGCACGCTTACGCCAAACTCATAGTCGCCTTCTGCTTGCACCTGTTGTGCTTGCTGCCAGTTCACCATGTACTTTGCTTTGCTGTGATGGAGTTTTGGTTGCGATGCCTACTTAACTAGAGCTTTCCGTTTCCCAGTCTCTTTTGTTGTACCCATGTTTTCCGTGTCCACATTCGGATTGTCAGTCGCAGTGGGGTTGTTAGTTTATAGCGTTCCGAGTGCGTAGGGGGCGCTGTAGAGCTCGCGTGCCGTTCAGGAGACGTCTATCCCACTAGATGGGGTAGCAGTTGTTGTGCGCTGCGACTGTTTGGCTCAAAATCTATTTGCCTCCAGGGAGGAACAGGAGGAGGAGGAGGAGGAGGATGAAGAGGCGGAGGTGGTGGAGGAAGAGGCGGAGGAGGATGGAGGACCAGTGTACACCCAAGGCTCATCAACGATGTTGCAATGATCTCTTCGCCCCTCCAGTCCCTATAAGGACACATTTTTACTGAAACAATGCGCCGTTGGAAAACAAACGCGTGAGGATTATGAACTGTATCAGAACACCATTCCTGGGATGACAGCGCCGGGAATAGCCGTTGCTGTTGCGTCTTGATGACCACGAACCGTGCCAGAGCACCATTCCTGGGACTCAGCAGCACGGGCCGTCTTAATTGTTGTGCCTTGTCAGTCCGACACCGCGCCCACACGTATTTCCTGGCACATTAACCATGAGGACCCGTGAAACGGCTTGTAGCGAATATATGCGGCGTTGCAGCGAGAGCCGCACGTTGAAAAGGAACCGCCATCCACTGGTCAAGCTCTTGCAAGTTGTTGAGACCGATGTGCGCGGCGCTGAAGCGAAGACCAACGTTGGAAAGGGAACCGCCCTCCATCCGTGAAATCCTGCACATTTTGAATGCGGGCGTGCGCGGCGCGAAGGCGAAAACCACATTTTGAAAACGGCCTGGCTTCCATTCGTGCAATTCATACAGTTGAATAACGGATGTGCGTGGCATTGGGGTGAGAGCCACATTTTGAAAACGTCCCGCCTTTCATCCGTGAGAATGTGGCACATTTCATGACGGATGCGCGCGGCGCCAAGGTGATAACCACATTTGAAAACGAAGCCTCGTCCATCCGTGGATCTGTTGCACATTTCAAAACGGACGATCGCGGCGCTAAGGCGAAAACTAAGTTTTGACAAGGAACCGCATTCCATCCGTAGGATAAATGCAAATTTGACAGCTTCAGGAACACATGTGGTGAGGGGTTCTCAGGCGAAACGACCCTTCTTGCCCTTTCAACTGGCCTCGGGCTGCGATAGGGCGGAGTTATGCATAAAAGGAAATAGTGGGGCATTGAGGGGGCGGGTGGGATGAGGAGGACAGGGGCGGGAGGTGGGACACAGGAGCAGGAAGACAGCGAGGCACCAGGACGCCCCTTCCCATCGACGCCTCGCCCTCGGCACCCCCCAGCCCGTCCTCCTTGTGCGCAGGTGAGCGGTGAGACCCCGACTGCACGCGGTACTGGCGGCCCCACTGCTCCCGACTGCGCGCCTCTTTCGCCACTGTCGTTGTCGACGTCGTCGTCGTCCTCCTCCTCTTGCGTCTCCGTCCCCGCCTGTGTCCCCGTCTCCTCCTCGCCTTTACCCCAGCCGTCGCTGATTTCGTCGTCGTCGTCGTCGCCGCCTCCGCCGCCGCCGCAAGCGCCGGTGCCGTCGCCGTCGCCGTCGCCGCAAGCGCCGTCGCCGCCGCCATCGTCGTCGCCGTCGTCGGCGGCGTCGTCGTCGTCATCGTTGTCGTCACCCTTGTCGTCCTCGTCTTTCTCCCGTTTCCTCTTTCCTTTCAGCTCCCGCCCCTGTTCCTGCTCATCCCGCCGCTCCTGCCTCTTCTGCTCCCGCTGGTGCTCCTGCTCGTCCACTTCCACCTGCACCTCAAACTGGTGTTCCTGCTGATGTGCTCCTTCGGCTGCGCGAGCTCGTGCACCCCTGTTCCTGCCCCTGCCCCCCTGTTTCCCATACCCGATGGAGGAGATCTCGTCAGGGATTGAACACGTGATGTCGGAGTGGGGTGGGGGGGGGGGAACAACGAAGAAGAGAACTCCCCCCTCCACCTTATCATCATCCCACTTCTAGTACGTATCCACCTCCTCCCGGCCTTTCCTTCTTATTCCTGCGACTTTATTCCCTACCTTTTCCATCACTTCTCCGCTGATGCTGCTACTACAGTCAACCCGCATAAGAAGGACGGGCAACCTTCCCAAGGGTCCCCTTGTATCCTTGCCTCCTCGGTCCATTCTTGGCCAGTTTCCTTGACCGCACCCCGCTCGAAAAGCTTCAAAAAGGCCTTCCACAGTCCTTGCATTCTTATCGCGCATCCTTATCAGACGGGTTGACTGTGCTGCCTCTTCTCATCAGATATTTGTTTCTTTCTGTTTCCCACCTTCCTCCCCCCCTCGTTCTCGTGCTCCAGCTCCTCCTCCCCTCCTCCCCCATGTCATCCTCATCCTCCTTGCCCTTCTGCTCTTTCCTGTTTAGTTCTGTTCCCCCCCTCCCCCCCAGACGCCTGTGCCTCCTCCCGGTCCTCCTGCTGTTTCTCCTCCACCCTCCTCCTTTTTCCATACTCCCTTTTCCCTCCTCCCCCTCCCTCCTCCCTCATTCCCTCTCCCTCCTTCTTTCTCGCTTCTCCGTCCTGCCTCCTCCCTCCTCCCTCCTGTGCCACTCTCTTCCTCTTTCGTTTCTCCCCCCCCCCTCTATATTACCCCCTCTTTTCCTCGCCCCTTTCTTCTCTGCCCACCGCTCTGGACGCCGCTGAGGGGGCCCGGCCCGGCCGGACCGCGCGGGCCTCGGCGCCGGGCACGGGCTCGACCTCTTGTTTCGGCGGACGCGGAGAACGCGGAGGAGGAGGAGGGAGGAATGGGGCATTTGAGGAGGCGGGGGCGGAGGAGGAGGAGGATGAGGAGGAGAAGGACTGTATGACTGTATGGCCCGAAAGGTACTTGCTACATAGCTGATATCGCAATGTCAGTGACAGAGAGAGGATCGATCTGACTGCGACAAACGGGGCGAGGGCGGGATGCTGCCTCTCTATCCAGAGGAGGAGGCTGGTGCTCTGGCGGCCTCCTCCTTCGCCTTGATTCTCGCATGCAAAGCCGCCATGCGGGTCTCGAAACTCAAGGCCGAGTCGGGATTCGAGCGAAACACGCGGGTGACGAACGGTGCTGGAGACTCCTCCTGAGCAGGGAGGGAGAACAGAGAGGAGCGGGGCAGCAACGTCGATACTTCGGGCCAACCCCTTATGAGGGCCGAGACCGCTCCCGATATTAGAGAGAGCGTGATCCACCGCCGCTTTACTGTGGAAAATTGCTCCCTTTTTCCTCCGGAACCCGGGTTTCCCCCCCCCCCCTCCGAAAATCCCCCCCCTTGCTGGACCCCCCCCCTCCCCCCTCCCCTCCCCGGCAAACCCCCCCTCCCCCCCCCCCCCCTCCCATTCGAAAACCGGGGGGGGGGTCACTACCGGTTCGAACCCCCCCCCCTCCCTTTTCGGTCACTACCGATTCGAACCCCCCCCCTCGAAAACCGGAGGGGGGGTCACTACCGGTTCGAAACCCCCACCCACCCCACTCACCGCCAGCAAACGACTCCTGGTCCCTACCACCGTCCGCATCACATCCCCCACTGTTGTTCCCAGCACCACTGTCCTCACCACCACTGTCCCCACTGGTTCCACCACCGTCCCTACTGTCCCCACCAGTGCCCCCACCACTGTCGCACTGTCCCCACTGTCCCCACCACTGTTCCCACCACGGTTCCACTCTCCCCACTTTCTCCACGGCCCCAACCACTGTCCCACTGTCCCCACTGTCCCACTGACCCTCCGCTGTCCCACTGAGCTGTCCCACTGTTCCCACCACTGTCCCCACTGTCCCCACCACTGTCCCCACCACTGTCCCTACTGCACCTCTGTCCCATTATCCCACCGCCGTCCTCGCCACCACTGTACCCTCCACTGTCCCACTGTTTCCACCTCATTCCCACTGTCCCCACACCACTGTCCCCACCACCACCGTCCCCACCACTGTCCACTGTCCCCACTGTTCCCACCATTGTCCTTACCACTGTCCCCACCACCACCGTCCCCACCACTGTCCCACTGTCCCCACCACTGTCCCGCTGTCTCCTCACCACTGTCCCCACCACCACCGTCCCCACCACTGTCCGCACCTCCACTCGATTTTCGAGGGGGGTGGGGGGGTTCGAACCGGTAGTAACCCCCCCCCGGTTTTCGAAGGGGGGGGGTTCGAACCAGTAGTGACCCCCCCCCTTTTCATGATGAACTGGGGGGCGGGGGGGGGAGGGGTTCGAACCGGTAGTGACGGTTCGATCCGGTAGTGACCCCCCCCGGTTTTCCTCCAGCAGTGGTAGAACACGCTCTTTCCGATATTACGGAACGCCTCAAGACCTTCAAGGTCGGTGGTGCACAGGGGACCAGAAGTTTTTCCCGACGACGCTGCTGGGCCCAGGTTCCACTGAAAACAAACAAAAACTGGAGCAGTGCAAGCAATTCTAGACGCTTCGCGTATCCCCACCAGCCCGTCCAGAAACGACGCCCAGGCGAGTAGAGGGTCGTCCTGAGGGGCTTTTCGGCGTCTTGGGTGCCTCGGGGGGGCCTCTGTGGGCCGTTCGGGATCCTCTTTGGGGCCTCCTGGGGGCCTCTTGGGGCCCTGGGGCCATCTTGGGGCCTTTCGGGGCCTCCTGGGCGCTTCTTGGGGCCATCTTTGCCCCTTGGGTGCCTCTGGGGGGTCTCTTGGGGCCTCTTGGGGGTCTCTTGGGGGCCTCCTGGGGGCCTCTTGGGGGGCCTCTTGGGGCCAATCTTGGGGCCATCCTGCGGCCTCTTGGGGCATCCTGGGGGCCTCTGGGGCGCTCTTGGGGCAATTTTGCAGGACATCGGTCAAGGAAGTAGGGTTCCTTAATTAGAGCCCCCCCTCAGGAACTCTAAAAATCGTCTCGTGTACCGCTCTGGGACCGCTCTTGGAGCGCTCTTCGGCGCTCTTGGCGCCGTCATGGGGCTTTCTTGGGCCCTTCTTGGAGCTATCTTGAGCCATCTTGGAGCCATCTTGACGCCTCGGATGTGCATCGCAAGCGAAACAGTGAGAACACCAAACACATTGATTTTCCCAAGGGTTTTTAAGCATTTTGGCCTCTTGGATGCATCCTAATGATGCTCTTGTGGGCACTTGGAACCGTCTTGGAGAGTTCTTGGAACGTCTTGGAACATCATGGGGACCATCTTGAGACATCTTGCGCTATCTTGAGCCATCTTGGAGGGTATCTTGGGCTCCCTGAGGCCCTCTTGGAGCCATCTTGGGCCATTTTGGGCGCTCCAACGCGCCGCGGAACCCCCTGTCCAGGTCAGTGGGGAGGGGTCAGGGGTAAACCCCTCCCCGAAGGGGAAGAGGGAGGGGTGGAAGAGGAAACTCGTTAAACCACCGACGCCCAGAGGGCTGGTGGGATTTCAGCACAGCTCCAGGAGGACGCATTACCCTGAGATACCGCTACAAGCTGATGGCCTAAAGGGTTGGCTGAGAATTCCTTCAGAAACAGTGGGAGACCGCGACGCCCAAGAATAGGCTGATCTCTGCCTGGTTTAAGGATGCTGAGACACTTCCTACACTGGGTGCCGATCGAGGTCCTGCACCAGTCATGCCAGTTAGCACGTTGGATGTTTATAGACCGAGCAAAAACGGGACCTGGAGAACCTTTCCTCCTGGTATACTTGTGGCACAAACTTTCACAAACTGCTGAGCTCTGACGCATTCACTGTCGAGCCTCACAAGAAGTTCGTGGGACGAGAGCGGATGGAACGCAGCAGCTTTCTTAGCGAAGGCTTCGGCGACGACGTTGTCGTCGGTGATGCGTCTGTCCTCTGCCGGGAGCGCGCTGTACTGCTCGCTAGACTTGTGGGCTTCGAATCTGCACGCAAGAATACATGGACTTCGCCTGCAGTTGCTTTTCCTTGGACTTGATCGCCGCGTTGACCATTGCCATGACATCAGCGTGCACCGTGGGCGGTCTGTCCGCGATCTGCCCCACGAAGGCCATGCTCAGAAATTTCGCCATCGCTGAGGACTGTGGCATCGCATGAGGAACAGCACCATACATCACCGCCACAGGTGCGTCAGAATGAGGGCCTATGAGTAAGACAGCCCACCCCGCTCTCTCAAGAACGGTCCGGAAGGGGCTTGCTGCATGACCCATCCATTGCAAAGTCAAGTCCGTCAGCTTGTATGAGCGACTGAGTTAATGTCTCAGATTGTGCGTCAACATGCTCCCCAGGAGGCGTAAATATCTGAGCTTGAGCACCGGGGTCTTTGTCAGGAGCATCCGCGTCCAAGTACGTGAAACAGCCATGAGAAGAGGCGTTCATCTGGATTGTCGAGGCCGTCCTGGATGAATGCTGCGGAGGCTTCAGACTCGCTCCGCGCTGCCACCACGTCATGCCCCAATC